GTTTTATCTTCCCTTTAACAATAGGCAATAACCAGCAGCTGGCCTTCTTGCTCATAAAGGCCAGAGATGGCTGTCACAGAGTTCTTTATATCAGAATAGCCATGCTGCTTGGGAATATTGCACACTACATGGGTCTCCAAGAAACAAAAAGTCACATCAATCAAAGGATCATTTCGGATTACTTTAATTGCTATCCAGGGTTGCTATGAGGTTTTGTTTTCCTAGTAAAGCATGTATAGTATGCAACCCACAGCTTCCCACCCAAAGACTGTGTTTAGTCTGAAAAGGCAACTTTGAAAGGAAACAACAAATAGAATTTTATCTGTCTACCTCCCAGTGGCAAAATTATTAACAGTGCATATTTTTATACGTATGCACACACAGAAAAACGCATTTAGGTCCCCCTCACATACTGATTTTTTTGAGAAAAATAGATGTGGAGGCTATTTTAAATCTGGGAGAAGAGCAAATAATTGATTTCCAAATATTGTTAGATAATATATTTAAAATAACACACACATATATATATATTCATATATGTAAAAAGAGATTTTAACTCTAGACAAACAGAGGCAGGAAGGGAGGGAGGGAGGGAGGAATTACTATGTATTAACCTATATATTCTTGATCACATTTTCAAATCATACCATACCATCACTTTGGGTTAATACAATATACATTATTTTACTTCAATGCATAAGGACAAAATCTAAAGCAAGTCTAAGAGAGGGAAAGCACAGCAAAATACCAAAATACCGAAATAACTTCCCCACCCCAAAGGCTCATACTGCAGTGGCCCATCACTTTCTCCCCCCCCCCAAAAGAGAACAAAAAGTCTCTGGCCCTAGGGTCAATAATAGAAATACCTGTATAGGTGATATTCAAAGCTACTATTTTCTTGAGAGTGTGGTAGCTTCCCATTCATGTTTTCAGTTAAAATGAATTATTAAAAATAAAAGCTGGCAAAGCTGTGAGCTGCATGGATAGTAAGAAACTTACCAAGAAGTACATTGTGGCCCTCAAAGGCCCCGTTGGAAATCCAGGATTTAGATAGTAAAAAAGCCCCGTTGTTCTAAAAAGTGGTCACTAGATCCACAAGGCCTAGGAGGTGTCATTCACTTTATATGAAACCAAGATGGATTCAGCTGCTCTATTTCAGTAAGGAAAATGTACACCCATTTTATTGGATTCGCTAACCAAAAAGGAATACATCTGTATTTTTTAATTATTTCATACTTCATTTTATAAAGTCTACCATCAACTCCCAAAATAATGTACTAAACATTTGTGGTGTGGTAACCTGTAATTATTTCAACACTGTTCATAGTTGTTGGAGGTCTGTGTGAGTCCCACTAAAATTACTAACGCTTAAGAGAAAATCTGAGTGTACCGCTTTCAAAACTGAGTATGCCACTCTCTTGCTGGTGTAATAAATGGAAATAAATATTTGGTCATCGTTAAATTCTCTAAATAATTGTACAATCATATGTTATTTCATTCCTTATTCATGGGGAGAAAAAATCTGAATCTCACATCTCAGTTCAGATTTATCTATGTAGTTTGAATCTTAGCAAAGCTGTTTTTAATATAAATTCAATCAGAACTGAACATTCTCAGTAGCATAAATTAAAATACATTCCTATCCAATAACAGCTGATTACTAACAACAACAGACCAGAGACCTGGTATGCCACTTCTGCAGTTCAAGTTAAAAAGCAAGTATATACCAGTTCATAAACAAATAATCTGTCTATCTAAACAGGATTTGTCAAACAGTTCCGTTTCCTTCAATCAAGCAAAAAACAAAAAAACCACTGAGAATCAGTAATTGATGTAAGTTCCTGTTAAAATTAAAATAGGTATTTGAAAATATTGTAGTTGGTTTCATTTAAGAAAAAAAATGTTGACAGATTTCTTGTATCTGTTGATTGGTGCATTTTAGACCAATCTTTTCTGAAGCTTTCATTCATCATTGATGAAAGCCATCAAGTCAATATTATGCATGTATCTATCTTTGTGGAATAAACCTGGATGTCTATTTAGAAAAATGAGAAATATATGCCTGCAGACATAAATGTCTGTCTGTCTAATTAACCACTACAACCTTCAACCATTAAAAGCAATTAAAACCAGTTAAAAGCTACAGCTAAAAAGTACAACATTGCAAATTAAGGAATGGGGGAATCGGGTGGGAAAGGCAGAAACAAAAAGTTTTGGAAAAGAACATGAGCAGAGCTGGGCAGGAAAAAAAAAAGCAAGGCACTAAGAATTATCTCTCAGTAAATGTTTTTCATCAAGATTAGAATGCCGTGGAAAAGGAAGAGAAGATGAGTTTATATTGCCATATATTAGAATGCGAATGGTGGAGAAAATGGCAAAATGCTTTGGCTTCACTTTTTGGAAAGAAAAAGAAAGGGAACATTGAAGACAAACCAAACCTTTAAATTTAAATAACTTCATTTTACTTTTTTTACCAGTGGGATCTGTTTTTAATACCCTCTCAGGCATTTTAAATTTTATTAACAAAGCAAGCAAACATTATCAGCAGTTATTCCACCAGCATAATTATTATGACAGAAACCATCTTTCTTCCTCCAGAGAATTTTTCTTTTTTCTGCCTTAAATTCACATGTCCCTCAAGGATGAAACTTTATTACCTCAAGCTCCCAGCAAACAGCATTTCTAGGACTTAACACCTCCCATTTGTTATTTTTAGCGTAGACGTTTTTAAATCGTTAGAGTTTGGCAGATGCAATGATTTATGTAAATTCTTTATCATCTCGTGGGGGATTAATGTACTGTAATTTGATAATGGCCCTCCACTTTAAGAGTCAGGAGTACTTCCAGAAGAAAGCAACGTGATTGCAGATGATGGATAGTGTAAACCTCCACCAATGTCCACAATATGACCAAAGATGCATTTATCATTGCCATTTTTCTTTGTAGTACTTTTAATTATAATTGCCATTGATTATCAGATACAAATAGAATGGTTGCTCTTTGGCATGATATTTTATGTACTTTAATTGGATTAAGATTTCTCTTAGTTTCACCAAAAATATTCATCTAGTCTTAACAAAGAGGGTGCTTAATGCCCTGAAATTCTGCACAACTATGAAGACAGCAAGAAACAATCTAACTTTAATCTATTTTGAAAGATAAAACATTAGTTTAATAGGGCATATAAATCAGATAAAGGTTTATTTTAGCAAGCTTTTCATTTTAATGATGTCTATACATTTCAAGAGTTTTAAAAAAATCAGGTTTCAGTATAGAACATGCATTCTGATATTCCTTAACACAACAGTTACTATAATCTAATAATACAATTTAAGAAAGCTTAGTAGGCTAAGGGGAAAAATGACCTTATAGTAAACTTAATTGTCATCACAGATAATGTTGAATGCACATGAACAGGAATCCTATTTGTTTATAGAAATCCAACAACCACAATCTGAAGAGAAAAAATTGCAGTCATCTGTTTAATGATGCATTTACTGAATCTGTTTTTAGACCAATAGAAGACAGTTACTTTAAGAATTAAAGCTAACTGTTAAACTAGGGGTCAATGAATTACCTTAAATCTCTTATTAAAATGCTTATACAAAGTATGCATTCAATATGACTGATTCTTTATATAGACATTTCAATTTAGTTTCTGGCTGTAGGACACATTAAATCATTTCAAATGTAAAGGTAAGAGAAAAGGGGTAACATCTGCAGTTGGGGTTTTTTTAAAAGAAAAAAAAATGCAGTCCCCGTAAATCACATTGCATTTGTGGATACTTTTCACTAAGTTTTGAAAAGTACTTTTCAAAATACCTCTGCCCTAAAATATTAATAGCAAAATATTATTTTATTTCTGATTGCTAAACTTCTGTTGAATATTTTTCTACATAATAATTATCAACTAAAATTATACTAACCTATCATAATTAGAACCAGCTTAAATGGTATATGTCATTTAAAGATATCTTAGAGTTTCATGCTGATGTTTAAAACTCTTATAGAAAATATTTCTAGGAAAGGAACAGAAGAGGAATTAGTCACCCCTTATATGACTGTTTACTTTTCAGTGAAATCTTTGGCAAATATGTGCCAAAATGTTGAAAAGACTTTCAATCCAGCACTGTTTATGGATTTTTCTCTCCAATGTGAAATTCATAATTCATAGGCATAGAAATATTTTGACAACATCCATATTACCACAGATGAACTTTTCACACCTTCTTGCATTATGAAATAATTAATTATTCCTCTCTAAATCATTGTAATGTTTAAAATAAATTGAAAGTTTCTATCCTAAAGAGTTTAATTTCATATTTTTTAAAAATATGTGGGAAAAAGAAAGTTTTTTAAAATGAATAAAATGAAACCCAGTGATCCTGAATAGAATCTGTGTTCAAACTTTACCAATATAAAAATTGCAAATATAAAATAGCATAGACAACATTATTTGGAAACTTCACTTCAGAAAGGAAAAGCCACAATACCTGAAACATACTTGAAATCCTTTAAAGGCCACAAATTCTGCATGCATGTTAGGGAATTCCACAAGCAAGCGCTCTCCCCAATTCAACATGCAAACAAGAATCACCTATGAGAAACTTGCGAAATATGAAATATTCCCCCCAACTGTTTGAATGTCCAATTCTATCATCCTTGAAGCACAGACAATTACTAGTTATTTTCTATAATCTTGTAGTTATTTGCAATGATTCTTGGGCCAATGTAATCATTTTAATTACATCAGTAAAAGAAGGAAAACAAAAGGCAGGAATGTTATTGACACTGACTTTATACTAAAGGTAAGAGAAAAATCCCCCTACCCAGGGCTACCTACTTAGTAGCTGTTTTACCATTAGCCCAACTCCATCTTGTAGTTGTACCTCTTCCAGAGGCCAGTTTTTGCCTTTAAAAGTAAGGGCGCTTGCTCTCCTATTTCGTCCACCATAGAGCAGATTTCAGACAAAGGAAATAAAATGAAATTGGCAACGTACCTAAATTGACAAAGCTCATGACCATATCTGCATCATTCAGAAAGTTGGTGTCGTGCAGGCTAGCTAAGGTGGGACTTTGTGTAGGCAGTGAACTTGTCCGTGATATGTATATTCTTCGGGAGTACCCATTTGGAGATGCCAAGTAGCCCTTCCGTAGCCCTTTGCCCTCTCCGCTTGGGGATGATCCCCTCACCAAATATTCCAACTCTTCAGGATCCTCTTCATTTGTCATTGCATTGTAGAGATCCAGCATAAAGAGGGGTGCCGAGGAAGCTTGTTTTCCAGCTGAAAATGGCCTGGGTCTATGAGGTAAACCCAGGATGGAAAGAATTTCCCTTTGGATCTCTCGCCTCTCATGGTTCCGCAATCTTCGATAAATAAAACTCGAGTGGACATGGTTGTCCCCCATACCTGCCTTAGCATAATCCATTAAAAGCCAGTAATTCCAGAGTAAGCTCAATAGAACTTTGAACAGAGTTTGGTGCATTTTAAAATAAAATAAAATGCACAAATAACTTTGAAATAATGTTGTATTTTCCTTTTTCTGGTCTCTTACGAAGTCTGGTGTTCCTGGGACCAGGGAAGGTTAAAATAAAATAATAAATAAATGAACGATGAATTACCTATGCCTCATGTCAGCGTTGCCATTTCTGCACTTCCCATATTGATCATTTTCTTCCACTTCTTCCTTAAGTATGATGGGACGTGTCAGGCTGCCTGCAGTTCTATGAAAGCTGAAATTCAGACGTCCAGTTTTCTACTGCTGCTACTGTTTCTCCTGCACTGGTGGAACAGGTTCCCAGAAGCTGACCAGTTGATGCAGGCATTCCTATTCAAAACCTGATGATGATGATCAGACTTGAGATGATCAGACTTGGGGATAGTTTTGGATGAAACAACAGATCATCTTCTGTCAAACTGCTATAATCAGCAGAGTCCCCTCATGCTCTGATTCCTAATCCCCAACTAGGTAATTCTTCTTCCACCTTGCTGTCCTTTCCTGAATGCCAGCTTTCTTGTCTTCAACTACTGCTTGGTGATGGTGCAATTTCCCTTTGGTGTTTTTTTTTCCAGCACCCAGCTGAGCCTATTAACATTTGTAATGTCCAGCCCATCTGAAACATGCATCACAGGCTTGAAAACCGTCTTCCTCTGAATTCACCCAGGGATATGTTGAAAAAAAAAACCCAGGACCCCTCCCCTTCTCAATATCCATCCAGTCTTTTGCAGTTCCTTAAAAGCGATTTTCACCTCTACCAGGCAAAAATAGAGTAGCTCCCTTCAAGAGAGATCTGAAAGCTAATGTAAGCACAACCCTGCTGGGAGAGAAGAGGCTTCTCATTGTAATTTGAAACTGGCAAAGTGAGGGGGGAAATGAATTAACCCTTCTACTGCCACACAGTTACTCCCCTTCCCCAACCAGCCAGTGTAGAGTTCTCTAATAGGATGGGAGTAATGACCTCTCCAAAAAGAATTGTGTCAATAGACCGATCTTAAAATTTAGCATGCAATTCACCTGAGTACTTACAGAGTTGAAAGAACATAGGGCTTGTTTGCAGTTTGCAGAACATCCTCTTTTTAAATGTAACCATTTGCAGGCTAGGTTAAATACTTTAAGATTCCACTGAGATCAGCATGTGAGGCCCTGAGTTTTTTGGGACATGCTCCCTAATTTGGAAGGGTCCCATCCAACTGCAGCGAAGCACTTCAGAGTCACACAGTTTCAAGCAGAGACCTAAAAAGCAGGCTTATCTTTCCAATTAAAGGAACATGACCGAGGATACAGTTTTGGAGCCAGTTGCCTAAAGTAGATGCAATTGAAACAGACTGGGTGCTTCTATACCATAAGCGTGAATGCTTTTCACCTATTTATCGCCCAAATTTAGACCGAAAACAGCATTTATTTACAAAATAGTAGATGTGATGTGATTATTTTTCCACAAACCCTTATAATACTTTCTTCTCTCTGCTTCCTGTTTGCTTTTCTTGATATATTACATTTAGTAAATATTGGTCTGTTGTGGGGATTGATTGAAAAAAGCAACCTCCCACATTTTTCAGATATATTTTAGTTCATTTTTTCTTTCAAGGCAGTCTTGAGCCTTGCCAGGATAATTGATCTCAGAATCAACAACAACAACAACAACAACAATAGAGTTGGAAGGGACCTTGGAGGTCTTCTAGTCCAACCCCCTGCTTAGCAGGAAACCCTATACTATTTCAGGAGAATGAAAACCTTTTGAACTGGATAAATACTTCATTTTATAAAATGAAAAACAGCAGGCCCAACTGACACCACAATAAGGACATCACGTTAACATCCCAGCTGAGTATATAAGATTGTTGTATTGAAAAGAGATGGGGCTTGTTTGTTTTATTGTGGGGCTTGTTTATTGCATATATTTTTTAAAAAAATAGTGCTGCACTAATCGCATGGAAATTATGACTCAATATTTCAGTAATCAAGTTATGAACCTTTACTTGTGAATTCAGCTTTCCATTTTGCATGACATTTCTCTTTTCACCACACCTTCAACACAAAAGTACATTCTTTATTTTATCAAATAGGACATACCAAAGGGGCATTAGTGATATATTGCTTTATACAGGCAATAGATTCTCAATGAATTCATTTCTTCTCACTCCAACCAATTAAATACTATCAGTCCACACACTATCTTTATACTTGGATTTTATTTATTATTACTTAAAAATGACTCTATTGGCCAATAGATAGGTAAAAGGGGTAATATTAACAGACAAAGAAACAAAATTGGGCCAGAACAAACTAAAAGTAACTAGAACATATTCTTTTGGTTAAAGGAGTCACATCTGTAGCACACTAAAGAAAGAGCTACGGTGGTTTCATTGTTTGAAAACTGCAACAGAAACAGATATGTGTCATGAACTCACCCACCCAATCCCAGAAGATAATGAGAAACCCAAAGGCCTACTAAGTCATCAAGCTCCTAAGTAGATTTAAAGAAATGTGCCTGGTTTCTAATAGTTGAAATTTACAATTCAAGATACTTATAATAAAAAGTCCCCCCACCCAGGATGTCAACAATTGAGACACTTATCCCAACCTTTGAAAATAAGCATAACAAAATTTAACTTGTGAGAAACTCTAAAAGATTATCTACAAATGTTTATGCATTTATACTTTCTCTTGCCTGGTATAGCCACATTAAGGTCACATCTGGACCGGTGCCAAGACATCGATCAAAGCATAGGAACAGCCCTGCTGGATTGGACCTAGAATTACATACATCCCAAAGCCTTTCTTCCAACTATGGCCAACCAAGAGCTTCTGAGATGTTCAAAGATATGACAAACTCAAAATTTGGTTTAAGGGATTTTCCATTTAGCTACCATGGCCAAATAAGTGAAAACAAATATAGCCACCCAGAACAAGAAATAATCTTAAGGAACTGATTCACCTACTTGACATTTAGAAAAATCAAGTTTCATACAGTTAGTTTCACTTAATGTGGGTTTACTGACTTTGCAGGTACCAGGAGAAAAATTATGGAGGGCTACTCCCGAACAATATATCTGGTACATTATTTACATAAACTGTTTGCTATCATCATTCATATCCTCTTATTATAGCCTAATAGAATACTTCTGAAACTTAGTTGAATTCTTCTCAGATCCAAGTACATTTCCTTCAAAGAGACCTGAGGATCATATGACATGGTTAAGTAACCTATGTATTTCCAAATGCTGTTCCATCATTCTGAGTCATTATAATGGCTGGCCTTTGTGGGAATTGGCAACCAACATATCCAGAGAGCAGTATACATATGGACTTAAAATGAACACTCATGTCAATGCTAAGGTTCTGAATTACACCTCTGTGGCCTAGATCAGCCCATTAATGAGCAAGCAACATTTCAAGTGCGATATAAATTGCTATAATTATCCAAGAAAACAGATAGATAACCTTTATTGTCATTTTTTTTCCTGTGGGCACAATGGCACACATTAAAACCATGCTATAAATAATAAAAGATATTTCAATGCAGCAAATATGGGCTCAGATGCATTAAAGCAGCTAAAAAGATCTACAGTTCAGTCCAATCCATTTGGAAACAGGTCTCACTGATTTAAACCAGACTTACATATTAATAAAACTGTCTTGATTTCAATGCTTATCAAAATTATTCCAGCTGTGTAAGACAGAAAAAAATTAAAGCAGACCCAGACAATTAGATACATCAGCGGCCCAGAAATTTTTATTTTTGGCAGAAGACCTATATCCTGCAAGGGATAAGAAACTTGATTTCTGCTCTTGCTTTGTTGCTGCCTTGTTTTTGAGAAAGATCACAAAGAAAGGCCATTTTCAGTGAAATGACAACTCTTTAGAGACAAAAACAAGAGCACACCAGGAATAAACATTTCCAGAGTTTTGAGGCAGCACGGAGAAATGTTATATTGAGCCAGGGGGAACAACCTTGCTCTATTTAGGCAAAAATTGATGTGAAAGCAGTTTTCTGAGAGAACTGAACTCCTCATAAAAAAATACTTTGGAAAATACACAACAAAGACTACAAAGTCATAAAGATGAAGAAATTGGACATAGGTTTCGATGGGCTACAGTCCATTTTATCAGGCTTGTAACTGAAGAGATGAGTTGCATTTTACAGGCACCAGTGCTGCAATAAAGAGAAAACAAACTTTTTGGGCTTTGGATTGTTGCAACAGACTCACACAACTGCAATACTCTTCTGGAATGTGCCTCTAGACCAAGGGTGTCAAACTCGCAACATCATGTGACATGTCGCAACATATCGTGACTTCTTTTCCATTGCCGGCAATGGGATGAGTGCTGTTTCGGCATGATGCATCCGGCCCATGGGCCGGCAGTTTGACACCCCTGCTCTAGACAGATGGGCAGCACATAAATCTAATAAAGAAAGAAATACTTATTATCATTCTTCATTCCACTGAAGAATCACAGTGAAAACTTCTGCTTTGCTTGGGTAGAAAGGCAATTTCCAAATCAGAATACAGGCAGTCCTTGGTTAACAACCACCCTTTCAGCAACCGTTCAACAGCACTGGATGAGTAATCCTTATGACCAGTCCTCAAAATTCTGGCTGTCACAGTCTCTCTCAAGTCATGTGATCATGATCCAGGTGTTCAGTAAGTGGTCTGGATTTCCAACCATCATAGCATCCCACAATCATGTGCTCACAATTTGCTATCTTCCTCGTTAGCTTCCAACAAGCAAAGTCAATGGGGAAGTCGGCAGGAAGATGAAAGATGCATTCATGTGAGGTCCTTATGAAACATCCTTCCACCTGATATTAGATTGGCCCCATCCTTTTTGACATTCCAAAAGGCCCTTAAGACCCTAAAAGACCAAAAGGATGTGTGTATAGATGAGGACTGTCTATTTGGGGAAAATATTACTAATATTAACAATATTAAATTTCCCCCCTCTTCCACAAAACTCTTGTCCTATCAGGGATCTTTTGGCCA